GGTGTTTACAGCTTATGGTTACTCACCTGCCACTCAGTGTTTCTCTGGCTACCAGTCTCCCACAGCACTCTTACTGAAGTAAGGACAGCCCTTTCTTGTCAGCTTCCACCTACCCCATGCTGAGTATAGACCAGGGGTTATGCTGGATGCCAATGGCTACTTCCCTTGTATGTTGCTTCTCCATGAGAATTATTTAGTCTCATCTTGATTGTGTGTCCTTTCCTCCACACTTTTCATTTGGCTTCACACTCCCTTTTTTGCATTTGTGATGTTCTGTTACTCTTCTCCTGTTAACGATAGAATATATTCTTCCTTACCTCAGTCCGTGTATGTGTGCACATGTGGAGGCCTGAATTGATGTCACGAGTCTGTATTTGGTTGTTTTTGTTGTTGTTGCTGCTGCTGCTGCTGCTGCTGCTGCTGTTTTTTACAGTACTGAAACTGCACTTAAGGCCGCATACTTGCTAGGCAATCAGGTGTCACTGAGCTGTACTCCAGCCCAGCACCATGTCTTTCTTCATTTATTTCCACTTTAATTTTTTAGACAGTGTTCCTTACTAAGTTTGGAAATCACCAACTGAATGGGTGGCTAGTGAACAACAGTGATATGCCAGTCTCTGCCCTCCAAGACAGGGGTTACAGATGCATGTTGCCCTTCTGGGTTTTTAGATGGGGAGCGGGAACCTTAACTCCAATCCCCACCCAATGCAGCATTGCTCAGCATCTTCTCAGGCCTCTTATTCTAACTTTCACTTCAAGAAGTCACACAAAACAAAACCACCATCTTAGCTGAGGCCTTCATTGTTTCTTTGTAAATTATAACTTACAATATTCTCCTATTTATTTCTTATTCTATTTTTTCCTGGGAGTTTGCTGAAATACTATATTATCTACGGTGACTTCCTTTTCACTGCACATGAAATATTACTTTCTCTTGTAATACTTTATTTTCTTCAAGACATTATTTAAAGAAGAAAACCATATATCCATCCCATTGTTTATTTTGTGTCTATTCTAGGATGCAAACTCAGAAAGAGAATGTTTTGCTTTATTGGTATGTAATGTATGTTCATAAAATCAATTAATGAGTAAATTAAATGATAATGAATTTAATCATTAAAACTATGATAAGTAATTACTTCTTTTTGCTTTGTTGTCAGTGCTCAGATTTAAGTTTGCTTCTGCTTGCAAGTATGTGCTCCCAGTTTTAGGAGTAAGAATCATGTCTGCTATCTCTCCTTTTTTTAAAAGTGTGTTTTTGGCCCTTCACAGTAATTTTATATTCAGTGGCTGACTTCCTCCTATGATCCTTGTCCAACACTTGTCATCTTTTTTCTATGTCTAGGCATTTCTTTGCAATTCCAAGTTTGAAAATAAAACAAAAATATTTAGCTTTCTATATTTCCTTGAACAAAATGCAGTTTCACTGTTTATGTTTAAGAGTAAAGAAGTAGAAGTAATCCTAAATGAGATATATTAATTATCAGATATGCTCTTAATGTAAATTCTTACCATATCTATCAAGTGTAGTCCTAGTCTACTTGGGGAATATGAAAAATGACACAGATGTGGATACAGAAGTTAAGCACTTAATAATGCATAAATGTTTCACTCAATCTAAAGAATATTTAGTTTTAAGAATCTTTCCTGTCTCTCTAATGATTTATGTGGACTTGTCCTCTCCTTGATTATTAATACACACTGCACTCCTTACCCTACAGATTTCTGGCCTACAGTGCATTCTGATTTCACGTCAGAACTGTAGGACTCCAGTGTCAGTCCCCAGCCATTCGTGGCAGCATATCAGATTCTTGTTATAATAGGTTTAGCCACAGCAGTTCTGATAGATTTGTGAATATGTCAATGTGGAACCAATTTTTTTCAGCAAGGCAATGGAATTGTGAAAAACAATGATAAATTTCCTGATTCTCTAATGAATCCTAACTTAGTAATAATGATATTTATATTATATTCAAATTTATAAAACATTAGTTGCTGATATTGCATAGATTATTTTGAGATCATAATAAAATCATGATTATCCCAGTACTAGCAATTGAGCTGAGGCTCTGTGAGGCTTGGTTAGAGGTTGGATTCTTGCTGTCCGTTATGCCGGACTCTCAGAAGCAAAACTTGCTGACACTGAAGAGACACAGCTTATGTAGACTATTCGTGTGTTTCCTCTGCAGTTCGCTGCTTCCTAACACACTGGAGACACAGTGTGGTGGTGGTAGAGTGTGCTATTGTTTTGTTGCTTAGCTTGCCTTCTCAGCTCCCATCAGATTCCATTTTTTTAGCACAGTAAAAACTAACTTCTATTTTCTGTTCCACAGATGATAAAGTTAAAGGTAGTTTATGGATGTGCAATAAAACTTGCCATATCTAAAATTAAAGCAACATATTCTTAGCACATAAAATAAATAAACTGCTTTTTCATGATAGGTTGATATAAAAGTGCAATTTAATTTTTATGACAATGATAATTTTATAGATTAACACTATTAGAGTAACAACAATAAGCTTCTATTTTTAAAAAAATTGGTAGGTCTCAAAAGATTTCAGTATTTCAGAAATCTGACTGTGTGCTGATATTATGTGTCTTGGACAGAAAACTTTGTAAAACTTTTTATCCTCTAAAAATATATTTGTCTTGTTTTCATTTTATTCAAAGATTGAAGTATTTCATTAGTAATGAAAACCTTGTGTCTACCTTATCAATATTTTTGCTGTCACATTTGGTCTTAACATCTAAATAAATTAATAACAATTATATAAAACTTTCCAGTTTTATTTTTATATTTTAATAAATTGTTTGTGTTCTGTATGTAAACTGTCACAGCATGAAATCAATTTTCTGCCTTGATTCATCCAAAATCTAGGAATTCTGTCACACTAATATTATAATTAAAAGCATTAATAGTGACGGCAACTTAAAAAGCATACCTTACTTTTTGGTAATTTGGTGTATTTCTGTGAGTGCAGGGGACTTCAAGAACCTTCAATCCACTAATAAATTTATTAACTCAAACTTAAAAGAAGTGAAAAGTCTCTCTTTCTTTCTCTCTCCCCATGGTCAGTCTGCTAAAATAGATTATTCATGCTTATTTGATTCAGGTAGGCTTTTGCAAGCTTCCCTACCAGGCCTGGGAATGTGGTACATTGAGGCCTTTTCAGAGGCTTCTGACATAGACCAAGCTTTTATTGCTTGGTGTTTTATTATAGTCAAATCCTAGTCTCCACCCAGTTTGTAGGCACTCAGCTTATTCTTTTGAATCAGGAAAGGTTATCACCTAACTTAATCCATGCACTAGCATGGATTAAGGACACCAGTGTGCCCCAGGATTCCCAAAGAGGATCCTGGAAACTTCTGGTTTCTTCTTTTTTGCTGTCTTTACTAAATTCTATTGGGCCTTAGGGGGATTTGCATCTGAAATGGGCAACCTGGTGTTTTTCTCAATGAAGACATCAGATCAAAGTTCAGTTAGTCAAGGCCTTTCTGAAACATTAAGAGGGCTTGGACTTACACAATAAAAAGATGAGCTCTCTCAGAGATTGCAGTAAAAACATTCTAAACTATAATCCGGATAAAGAATCAATTATAGGCCAAAGAACAGACCTTGTTTAAATTGCTTTAGACTAATAACTTTACATTTAAAAATCTTTACACCGTATTTTTAAGAAACTTATTTTAATGTCATATAATTTATTTGTCAATACTTTTCATAATAAATGGAGAATTTGTGTCTTAGGAATCATCATTCTGCACATATTATTATGCATTGAAAAGATTGTATTGAAGCCAACTAATAGATGTCTTTCATTAATGAAAATAAATAGTACCTTATAGAGAGATGCACATTCATTTTATTTAGAAAATAAATGTCACATCCACAGACTCAGTCTAAGAAAAATGCTTCTATTAGATTTCAGGATGTTTTATTTCATTTGACTGTATAATTTGGTGTTTATAGGCATTTAATTTAGGAATATGAATCATTAAAATCTTAAATGCAAATAGCTAGTGTCAAGCAAACGTGTGTTTAACTAAATTAAAAAATTGTCATTCTGTAAGATAAGAACCTCCTAAGAATTCTCACGTTTATGCAGAAACTCTGTTTTGAGCATCCCCACACTTGCCAGTTTCTTAGCACTCAGGAATGATCACAGTAAACATTAGACCAGAGCTTTGATGGGAAGCTGCTGCCAGATGGAATCTGCTAATAATTCAACTTTATGTAGAAGGGTATGGGGGCAGAGGGTGTATCCATTAGTATCAGCCTAGGTTCCATTCAAAACAATAGTTAATAGATTTTTACTCACATATGTAAATAAATTCAGTGTCAATAGCTGTTAGTTTCCTAAGAGAAAGATGGTTTCTTGAAGAAACTGTTAATAAAGAATGTAAAACCATGAACTAATGATCATGCCGAGTGTCTGTTGATCTCCATAGTTCTTACACATCCTCTCACTCTCACACAGGCCTTGATCTTGTCTGGATTCTGATACATTTTACACCATCAGCTTCATTGAAGTTCATAAGGCATATTGTACACGAACATTTAGTTTCAATATGATGCTTGGTTAAACACATCCTAATACTTGATTTCTTTTGGAGCTTCCAACCAATAAATTAATTTGGCTTAACTTCACTTAGTTCTCGCATCTCCTTATTCAATTTGTCATTAAAATGTGAGCTATTATGTATGAATTAAAAATTATGTATATTAAAATTTTGACTTATAAAAAGAGATATACAGAATAGTTTTAAAATGAGAGAGGTATATGAATTATTATAAACTTATAAATCATTAACAGTGAAAACAACTTGAGAGTAGAAAGTTTAATTCCTCATTGTATATAATTTGTCTAATAAAAGCTATTGTATGGGTCTTTAAATTAAGCAAATATATGTGTATCAGCCTTTTCTTATTAACTTGATGTTAGTCAAAGAAATTATAGGGTAAAATAATGTTATTTTAATGACCAGCATGATTTTCCAGCAGGCTGGACCAGTGTCATCTTCACGATTTGGTCACTATTATGATATATCAAAAAGGATTCCTCCGGAGCTGCTGGGGAGTTCAAAATGGCATGGATTCTTCCTTACAGAACACATAACTTCAGATCTTAATGGAGAATCCTGGTAAGTCAGTGGCTCATGTAACAGCAAATTCGGACTTCAGATATTAGTAGATTGCATTTTTACCTCATTTTTGAAGATTACAAATATCAATAATGCAAGTTTTCTACAAATACATAAGAAATTATATATGTATTTTGTAATATCCTATTATATGTTCTTTTCTTTTTTTTCTGGTCTGTAAACTACCTATTGGCTTATAATGTGATAGATTTGGATACCAAACTAGTTACGATTCCATCTGATTTTACTTTCCAGGACATGGGAAACAGTTCCTAATCAGGACTTCAAACCATAATCCAAATAGATCTCATAAATTCTTTGATGTAATCCCAGGAAAATGTGTAGAGCACTGCTGCTCTCTAGTACTTGTTAGCAGGTGATCTTTTAAAGGGTACACAAGTATATGTTTTTTCTTTTTTTAATACTGACTCTTGTTATGACCTTGAAATTTCTGATGATCTTTTTAGCCTGGTTTTATGCGATGCTGGGGCTTGTATGCAAGGCAAGCACTCTTGACAAGCAAACTACGTTTCTCTCTGTTTGATATTCCATTTATATTAATACATTATAAATTTTAGTGATGCTGAAATAAAAATACTCTGTGATTTTTAGATGGCAAGATAGGTTAGAGTTAGAATTTTACAGTGAAGAGTTTTTTAAACAAGCTAACCTGTTTATAGTGACAAAAGTTTATTAAAGCAGAATTCTGAAGTTATAGACTTATTATTAAATAATGTGTGAAATATTAAGAAGATTCACTTTCAGTCCTTACTACAGTAAGCTGATGAACAGGTGGTAGTCTGTGTTTTCTTTATCACTATCAAATCATTTTTAATTATTTAAGAGTTTATAGGCAGGGAGTTGTGAAATTCAATGACTAAAATGTCTTGTGTCTGTTATAGAAATAATCCCTGAACCTTTAGTCAACACTATTCAAGTTAAGTCTTTTTCAGAACTCTTTCACTTTGTTAACAGGTTCTCTACTCTACAGTCAGAGGCATAAAATGGCACATGGGCACTGCTTTAGTGTTAGTGGCTATGCTGAAGAATGACTATTATATTTTGGGCACGCTGCTGTACATTTTACATTTATTACCTCCTGTCATCCTTAAGTTATAAGCAAATATTTCTGTTTTCCAGAAGATATTGACATACTCAGATCTAGCAGGGTCCCAGCTGAATTGTGGATCCAGGAATAACATGTTGGATCTCTTTGTTTTTCGTTCCTTTTGAAAGCTTTGGTGTCTGTCCTTTTCATTGTTTTGTTGTAGACAAAGCATACTAATGAAGGAATAAAAGCTTATTTCTGGTTCTGGCTTCATCCTGTTGTGCTCTCGGGATCCTCTCCTTGACTTCAGTGAAGTCAGTACCCTCATGAAAAAGATGGGTCTAAGAAACAGAATTACCACACATATTACTTTTGTTACTGTTAATTTGAATCATTTTGTCAATTAATAGTAGTTTCCAACTTTGCCTATTGAACTAAACACACACACACACACATAAGCATGTGAGCAAAAACTGATAATACCTGCATTCAGTTATTTCTAACTTAGAATTCTGTGATGGCAGTAATTCTTACTGTCTTGTTCATAGAATGCTCAGCCATATCAATGTAAAATGTGAGCTGGGGCCACCATCCAATTGTAGAGTACTTAGCATCAATTCAACCCTTAGCACCACAAAATTAAATAAAGCATGTATAAAGGATAGTGTGACTAAACAAAAACCATTGCTCTTATCATTTAAATTGACATTTATTTTAAGGAGCAAACTTTTTTTTTAACCAGAAAACATGAGGTTTTTATGCATTCATTCAGGTAAAGAGGGGAAGGAAGAAGTTAACTTTAGTCAAATGCCTTTCAGGAGAGTTACTGTTCAGAAATTTGACCTTAGTCTATTCATTTAATTTTACTAACAGCCTTTTGAGCTAAGTAGTATCAGAATAGTTTATGGGAACTAGAGGGCAGAGGCGCTAGGTAACTTTACTATTGTTGCAAATTGTAAGTCACTAAAGACAGTGATTCTCATCCTGTGGGTCATGACCCCTTTTGGGGTCAAATGACCCTTTTGCAGGGGTTGCATATCAGATTTAGATTATGGTTCATAACAGTAATAAAATTATAGTTAGGAAGAAGCAAAGAAAATAATCTTGTGGTTAGGGGGTAATCACAACCGAGGAACTGTATTAAAGGGTCGCAACAACCACTACACTAGGTAACACCCAAAACCATGTTTGTAAAACCTCCCCGTTGCTGGAAATGTGCAGCTAACAAGCTGAAGGGCCTAAAAACTATACTTCAGTGAACTATGAGGATGTAGTCAAATGGTCTTTAAAACCTATAATTGCTGGAATGTTTTTTGAAAGCTAGCAGTTTTACACAGAATAGGAAAATTTATAGATTTTAATTACCAAGGCAGTATTTCATTTCATAATAGTTAACTGATAATTCATTTATTTCATATTAAACTTAAATGCTTAATTAAATGTAATTAAACTTTAAACATGTAATTAAATTAATTTTGAATACGGGTACTTTACCATGTGAGATTTATTTTAATTTATGAAAAGCATATGCTCATTTCACTGACATGAACTTTACTGGTTCATTTATAAAACAGTAAAGCCAAGCCTTATACTTGTCTATACTTTTCCTATAATTAAGACTAGAGGATATAGATGTATCTCTCTACCATGTGTGAGATACAATATATAATTTCATAATTTCTAAAGGCACCATTGATAACGAGAAAATTTCACAGCAAGTAAAACTGAAGGTCATTTGAAATTTACAGTAATTAATTTTAAATTACTGGTAAGTTTATGTATAGAAAATGTTCATATATATATATATATATATATATACTATAAATATTTAATTAAAGCTTAGGCACTAAAAACTTGACATATATCACAGTATTGTTAAGATTGCTTTAGAGAGTTGGTACCTACAGTGCCAGCACTGGGCAGGTGAAAGATGATCAGAAGCTCATGGATAGCTTAAGACATGAGACACCACCTTCAAACCAAAAGGATAGCTTTGACAGTCAACTGTCTGATTGTCACAGCATGGTAAGATAAGGATGACAAAAGGTCATTCTAGAATGATTCTGCAATGTTGATTTACTTTTTAATTGGATACTGTTTTAATTTTAGTTTTGAGTTTAACTTTGACAGTGAATGTGTCCAAGCACACACAGCAAGCAGATTTGTTTCCTTACTGAAATATACTGCCATTCCAAAGTTAGGACAGCAGACAGTTTTCCTAATGCTCAACAAAGCTAACATACTGTCTAACTTGCTACTCCCACTACTATTCATTGCCTTTCTGTTCCTGTGATAGAATATCATGACTAATGCAATTTATGGAAGGCATTTATTTTGGCTTCTGGTTCCAGAGGGCAGCAAGCATGGCTGCAATAGGCATGCTTCATGGCTCACATCAACCAGAAACACAAAGCAGAGAGAGTGAACTGGAAGTGGCCAGGGCTTTTAACCTATAGGCCCTCCCCTAGTGACACAACTTCTCCAGCAAGACTGTACCCCTAAACTCTCCAAACAGCACCACTAATTGGGGACCAAGTGTGTTCAAATAACTACAGTATAGGGTCAGTTCTCATTCAAATCACCGCCCTGCTGAATCTCAGCATCCTACGCAAACTTGCATGTTTAGGCCCTTACACCAATATCAAATTATTTAGAGATGAGGTTTGTTATAGTTTGAATCTGGAGTAGCCTTCTCTTGGTCCCCAGCTTATGGAACTATTTTGAAGGCTTTATGAAACAGGGTCTGGCTGGTGGAGGTAAGTAACTAGGAGCAGGCCTCAGAGGTTAGAGCCCTGGTTCCAGTCCCATGGTCTGCTCACTGCCACACATTTCTGTCACCATGAATTCCACCATGCCATCCTGTCATGGTGAACTGAAATATCTCTGAAACTGTGATATGTCTGTGCTAATATTAGAAAACACATGAGGTTGGGTGGTGGATAAAAACCAGAAGTTTTCTAACAGGTGTGTAGACCAGAGACTCCAAAGCCAATGTACTAGAAGGGTTTACTGGGCCGTGAGGGCTACCAGGTGCTGAGTCTCTCCCGTGCCTGGACTGAGATACCTGGGTATTTGCAAGCAGGATTGAAGTTTTGTCAGATGGAGTCAAAAAAGCCAAACAACAAAGAAACTTACAAAATCAAAACTAGCAAACAAAGTGATAGTCTGTGAACTGTGAGCAAAAGACAAAGAGTTGAAAACAGCTGGTAATGATAGAAAGAAAGTGGAACGATGGTCACACTGGGAGCAAAGAAGACACCGTCCAAATCTCCAAAATACTGAGGAAGATTCTAAGCTGTGGTGTTCATGTATGCTGAAATGTGTAGACAATAAAAGCAAAAATAGACAAATGGCATTATTTTAAAAAGTATACTTATGGCAGTACGTTGTGGCTCAGCCTTTACTCCCAGCACTTGGGAGCCAGAGGCAGGTGGATCTCTGTGAGTTCAATGCCAGCCTGGTCTGCAGAGCTAGTTCCAGGACAGCCAGGATTGTTTACAGAGAAACCCTGTCTTGAAAAACAAAAACAAACACATACATGTACACACAGTTCTGTTCTCCACAGACAATACAACAAGCCTCACTGCTTCAGAAATATGAGAGTTCACATCAGAGATATCACTTTTCAACTGTCCAGTATTTAAAATATCACCCTGTGTTTGCTCTGATATGGAAAAACAGCCACTTATTACTTGTGAGAGTAAAACTTACTGAAACAGTCTTAGGAAAAGGAGTCAAAAGTTAGACTATCTGCTATCTTTTTACTATTACTCCATTTCTGTGAATTTATCATAAACAATGACATCAAAGATATATATATATATATATGATCATTCGTCACCATAATAAAAGCAGTCTTGATTGAATGATGGTGGTGAAGCTTCATTGAATTTATGTGCAAATGTAAGGAGTGAATTGACTACGAATATCAAATATTGAAAATTCAAGGTGC